AAAGACAAGGCCCTGCACTGGTTCCTGGAAAGCCAATTTAAAACAAAATGCATCAGAACACAGGGCTGGAATTGAATCTCACAGGATTGTCTAATACAGTGAGATTTAGCTTGTGTCCCAGTTTCCTTAGGCTTTGTTAGCTGGGTCTGAGACAGGAGGCTAAACTTACTGTCAGGATGTGAAATTTGCTATACAGGAGGGGTCTGCAGTGTCAGAGGAAGTATTTTAGGGATCCACAGGTCATCTGTCTCCCTGATGCAAATCGGAGGATTAATGGGAGTTAATTGGAGGATTAACTATACTTGCTGTCATTCCTTACAGATGTTGACCTAACAGATGTTCTAAAAGACTTTATGCTATAAATATTAATGCTATCAAACCAACCGTTAAATGTTAGTATTAATTATCATCACTATAAACATATTTGTATGTGGCAAGCAGAAGGGAGGGAAGAGCTGGAAGTTGCTAAGTAATAGCCACATTTGTGCTAAGGCAGGACAGGGGTGCCTTAGGTGCTCTGTGAGGTACATTGTTAATGGGCCTTGGAGTAGTTTGATGCAATTTTGTATGGCAGAAAAGAAAAAGAGAAAATTAATTGCAGAAAAGAAAAAGAGAAAATTAATTCATATCCTTGTACCAGATAGTCATCTCAATGCAGTTTAGATGCATATTATGCCACAGCTGACTGCATTTGCTCATTCTGGTTTTCCCTACTATTTCATTTAGGTTGCTCTTGAGAAGCTGCTGTTGAGGAAGCCAGTGAGATTGAAGTGTCATCCTTTGGCAAATTACCACTACGCCGGTAGGTTTCCTTGTGCTCTCTGTCTCTGCTGGTGTGTAGAGTCCAAGGCTGGAATCCCAGGATCATGCTGCACTCTCTGCACAGGGATGGCAGCACCTAATAGAGAGGTGATGTGTACAGTGCCGAGTGCTACTTCTGCAGCCTTTTGTGACAGGTTTGGAAGAATTTTGCCTGTCTGATGATGTACAGAAACTTTGCACCCATGTGGTTGTGTGGGGTTCTACAGATTTAAAACTGCCTCGAGTCATTTTTTTCCCCTCTTTAAAACTCCTTTTAAAACTGCTGCTATTAGTAGATCATAATTTACTAGCTGTAAGAGCTCCATTTGCTGGTATATACACATCTGCCATCATGCCTTCTTTTTCTTAGCTGATGGTGAATAAATGAATATGATAATCATGAGCATCCTTCCAAAGAGGCAGTGCTGTAACTCTTGCTAGTGTTTTAGTACCAAATACAGAGCCTTTCTTTGCCTGGATCTAGCCAAGAAGAAAGAGGTCTGGGGTGAGGACTTCTTTAGCAAACACAACAGGAACTACATGTTGGTGATGAAGGAGAAGTGCTCTGTGGAATACCCAAGGTGGTGTTAAGCCATTGGAGTTATGTTACATCACCTAAACATAGGTGGGAAATGTCCCTCCTCCATGTTACTGCTTAATGCTTTGTAGTGGCTAACTGCTGCTTGGACACTCAGAACAGTTTTACATAAGAGATTTGAGACTATTTCCAGTTTTAGGCTCAGTAGGAAGGAGGCCAAAAATCTGGTGGCCAGTCAGTCCCAGTGTGCAGTGTAATATACTCCTTTCCAGTTACAGCCACTATGCAGCACAAGCATAGAGACAAGCTGCTTCCTGGCTGTAGCAGCTCACCGGGAAGACTCCCAGGTAACAAGGACTCTCTTGTAAAGCAACTCTTTAACCCCTTGGCCTGAGAATAAGAACAGAAACACGTTTGATGGCAGCTGATAATGAGAGCGAATGAATACATGTGAAGATCGGGTTTTGAGTCTTGTCTGGGGTAGATGCTTAATGCCTTTGATAATAGTTCTGTTGTAGTCCACAGGGTGAATATGGGGTAGGTGGAGAAGGACATCAGCTAGGAGCTTTGAGCAGAGTCTCTTGTATGAAGAGATGACACCAAATCATGTGTGAGACAGTCCAGGGCATGAGAGCAGGAAGGTGAGGAGCTATCACAGCAGCCTCATCCTCGGTGAGCAATCTAATTAGCAGAGTAGATAAGACACTTCTGCCTGTGTGGGGAGGAGGAGGAGAAATAGTCTTTACTGAAGCACCTTCAAAGTAGTTTCAGAAAGTGCAGGCAGAAGCCAGGAGAGGCTATTTTGTTTAATCTTTCACATGAGATGATGCTAATGCTTACTAACGAGCACCGAGACCTGTGGACATCGGTGTATTCCTATTCCTTAAGCAGTAAAAGAAGTTTGACTCTGTTTATCACAGCATGAAACAAAATCTCACCAGTCTAGATTTAAGATAAAATAACCATAAAACAACAAGATAAAGCCTTATTTACTAATGCTCTTGAATGCAGCATGTGATTGGAACTTGCATTGACAGCCTTGCTCTAGCACCATGCAGCAGCTCTTGAATAATAGTTCATTTGTGGCTGATAATCAGCCACTTGAGGCGTATGGGGATTTCTTGCAATCTAGTGCATGAACAGCTTAATGTAACTTCAAGTGGCATTTGTGTGGGTTAATTCTTTGGGCTTTCTACTCCATACTCAGAAATTGCAGCTCTCGGATGTCACCACATTTAAAGGTGGAATAACTGAAACAGAGCATGGCACTGACTCATGAGCATTAACTCATTGATAGCACAATCAATCCAAATTCATCCTTAGCATTGCCCGTGGATGAGGGTATAAGCAAATAGGTCACCTTTGAAACCTGTTGGCTTGTGAGGGAAGCGAGTTGTAGAACTTGAGGCTTTTCTGTTGTGTGCCAGGAGAGCTGGGCATGCTGACCTGGGGCTGCTTGGGAGAACACCCTCATCTCTTTGTCCTGAAGGTTTGCCATCTGTCAGGATGGTGTTCTAGGGAAGAAAGAGGGAACATGTATCTAATACAAGAGGAGCACTGTGGCAAACACTTGAAGTATTTTCATTTGAACAGTGGCATTTCTCAGGTCTGAAGTTCTTCTGCAGTGAGAATTGCAGGAGCAATGGCCTCTGAAATAATGTGCTTCAGGCGGTCTGGAAACTTCTTGTACCTACTGTGATCGGGTGTGGATCAGACCCAGCATATGCTGTATGGGATGGATTTGAGCCACCTCTCAGGGTGACTCCTTGGGTGCAGGTGTAGCCCCCTGGAACTGACAGGTTGGGTCCAAAGCCCCCAGATTTGCAGAAGATATTTATTGTGAGTTAATCAGTGCAAAGACAACATGGCCTGTAAAACAAAACGTAGACTAAATATCTGAACATAAAGATGAGCTTTAAAATTGTATCTGTATTCCAAAGTCCAAAATTCTTCCTTGCTGCATTGCAGATCTCTCTATACACGTTCTCTATATCTCCCTCAAGCTAACAAGAGCAAAAGCGGTTTCCCAGCAACCAGAGTTAAAAACAGCTTTTCTTCTGTTTCTTTTCCTACACAGGATTTATTCTATTAATTAGGTTACTTCCAATTAACCCGCATAATCTTACAAGGGCCTCTGCTAATACCACAGCTATTGGGGAAATTCTGTAAGACCTGAATCCTCCATGGGTGTACAATAAAATTAGTCCATAGAAGTGATTCTACATTATTTATTTTCCAGGAGAGTGGGGTAGAGGCAGGAGAGCATGACTGACTAGAGAGGTTTGCCAAAGCCTAAAATCTCTCCTTTGGTGCTTTTATGCCTTTTAAAGTTATATTTTGACATAGCAGAGCAGGGCCCTGGACTGAATTGGTGCATTTACCCCTTCCCAAAGGGAGGGCAAGTGCAAATCACTGGCAAGCTGTGTAAGAAAGGAATGATGGTGGTTCAGGGTGGGAAAGATGGCAAGGCAGTGTGTCAGCAGAAAGATCTTTGGGTGATAATAAATAAAACTGGCTTGAAGCCAGTGCCTTTCTCTGACGTTGAAGAGAGCTTTAGTGTACATCTCTGTGGAAGTTACAAATGTGTGCTTATATCCAGTACTGGGAAAGCCTGCAGAAAACAGGTTGCAGGAAAGTTAATTTAGTGGTTTTCAGCATATGAAGGAGGAGTGAGACACCTGCTCTAAGTTTGTGAGCCTGGGAACTGACACTGAGATACAAAACACTTGCAGTTAATAAAAAAAGCTGTGTATTTTTTATAGGCATAAGTAACCTGTAGAGTTCAATACCATGCACGGTGCCAAGCCCAAGTTAATTGAATTCAGTGCAGAGGCAAGCATTTCTATGGAGAATGGTAACTTTGACAGGAATAGTAGGGATTTCTTTGGATAAAAGTTGTATATGTTTTCGAAACTCTCAGACAGACTGAAGGAGAATTTTCTCATGGTGTAAGTAATTTCAAAGGCATCTGCTTCATAGCTTCTTGCATATCCTCCTTTAATGTATGTAATGCTGTCCACTCGTACCAACAGGACACTGCTTTGATGCAGTATAGCAATCCTGTGTTCCTTCTGTTTGACTAATACTGAGGAAGAACAAATTCATTTCAATCTACATGTTGATTTCACATTTTCATGGCCGGTTAGGCTGGAGAAGCAGACCCAGAATAACAATATTTGGAAGTTTTATGTACAGCTTCCATTAAATGTTCATAAAACACTTTGTGTGTACTGCACATTGCTACAGTATCTACTTGTGACCTCTGTTACAGAGGATTTAAGTGTCTTACATCAAGCCATGCAAGTGAAGAGCTGCAAAAGGACCTTATAAGAGTTGTGGTGTGGAGAACAAAATAATAGGTGACTTCTATGTAGTTGAATGTAAAGTAGCATATATGGGAATAAGCAATACAAGCTTTACGTATAAAATTGAGCTCTGTGGTGATAGTTCTCAATTAGAATGAGAGCTTGGGATTGCAATGCTACTTTTATGAAAGCATCTGCTCTGTATTTTACAGCAGCTAAAAAAAACCCAAGTCAAATGTTAAAAGAGGATAGAGAACATGGTGATACCACTGTGCAAGTCTGGATTGATTCTGTGTTGACTATTATGCACCCTTCTGCTCCCTTCATATCTATAGGAATGCTTCAGCACTGGAAGAGGTTCAGAGAGGGACAGCAGTAATGACCAAAGCTGTGGGAGTGACAGAGAGAGCATGCAATCCTGGATAGTGTGGAGGCAGTGATTGGAATTAGGCTCACTTTCTCTTCCAGTTGAAGAACGAAGGGTCATCCAGTTAATCTGCTGGGAGCCACAAAACAAAGAAGAGGAAATGGTTCTTCATGCAAAGGGTTTCTTGATCTATGAAACTCCTTGGCAAAGGATGGTTTGGGTGCAAGAAGCTTAATTGTCTGAAAGGAAGAGTGGGTCTGCACTTACAATGATAATTACTAATTAAGCAAATTGCAACAGACTTGGGAAATCCCCTGCACTGGTAGTGGTCAGAGGTTAGGAAAACTTCAGGAGAGGCATTGTATTTGCTTGCCCTGGTCTAACTGTTGCCTAAGCAACTGCCTGTGGCCACTGCTGGAGACCAAATACTGGTTAGATGGACTTGAGGACTAAGTCAGTACAGCCATACTTGTATTTGGGTAGCAGCACGTGCTTGAGGTTTCCCAGTGTCTGTTTCAGATGCGATGTCAGCATAAAGATGGTGGGTTTTTATCACTTATAATGAATTCCCTCTTTTCTTTAAGGCTCTGACAAATGGACACATCAAGAAAGGAGGCTGTTCAAAGAGGCACTGGCCACCTACAGCAAAGATTTCATATTTGTACAGAAAATGGTAAGGTTATTTCTGTTCTTAACTTAAGGTCCTTTCCAACCCAAACCATTCTGTGATTCTATGAATATTTGCTGTATTCTGTTCCCCTTCATTTTCCCTCCAGTACCAGCCCAGCTCCTTGCAGGCATAGAGCCAGTCATGGTTATGAGAACTCTGATAGGAGTGGTATATTCCATTTGGTGTACCTGTGCATGCAACTGCAGCACCCGTAAAAGATAGAAATAAATAAATCAAACTTGTTCCTCTTGTTATTACATGTGAAAGTCTTCACACCTGGAATCCCAAGTCATGGCATTCTGTGTGTGGAACAAGCATGCTGTCTGCTGTCATCTCTGTGTTCTCTGGCAGTCTGTTAAAAGGTACCTGAGTCACTGGCACTGAGCTCTGTGCCAGAAAGGGTTGAAACCTCTTAATAAAGAGGGAGAATGTTTGGGTTTAATTTTCATGTTCTGCCACAAAGTAGAAAAGACAAGATGTATCGGGACAGAACTCCTTACTTGTTAGCTCACATGTGGGAAAACATCTGGGTTTATGGGAACCACGTTTTAACTCTTAGATTTCTCAGTGTTACTGTACACTTGAGCTACAGAAGTATATTCTCAGTCATTTTCTGACTAAAGACTAGAGAATCACAGTGAAATGTACTGAAGCTGAAAGAGTCACCAGAAATTTGACTGGAAAACAGTAACTAAAAAAGTTATTCTACAAGAGTATGCCTGTTGTAGTCAAACTGTGGGGGTTGTTTTCTCCATTTGAATGTTTGAAAAGTAAAGCCTGCCTCTTAGAATACACTGACCAGCTCAGTCTATTGAGTTTCCCCCTGTACTGGGCACTAGTGAAGTAGGACTCTTGCTTATTAAAAAAAGAAAGCATTGTTTTGCACAAGCCAGTATCA